CTTATCTTAAAATGGTTGCAAGCTTGTGTTGCCTTTGAAAATTAAGAGTAAGAATAACCATTTAAGGCATCATTTTATATTCTTATCTTAAAATGGTTGCAAGCTTGTGTTGCCTTCCAAAATTAAGAGTAAGAATAACCATCTAAGGCATCATTTTATATTCTTATCTTAAAATGGTTGCAAGTTTGTGTTGCCTTCCAAAATTAAGAGTAAGAATAACCATCTAAAGCATCATTTTATATTCTTATCTTAAAATGGTTGCAAGCTTGTGTTGCCTTCCAAAATTAAGAGTAAGAATAACCATCTGAGGCATCATACACATTTTACATCACAATTTTTAGAGGATTAAATGAGGCTTCCACTAAAGGGACTTGAACTGAATTTTCTTAAATATCACAAATCAACAATCTGAGGGACTTAAATATGGTTTTCACTTTATCAATCAAAGCATACACAACTAGTCACACGAATTTTTTTTGCTAATTTCACAAATCAACAATTTTCAGCAACATATTGAGAAACCTAATTTCACAAATCAACAATCAGAATTTTCAGCAACATATTCATTGAGAAACCCAACACTGCCGACTGCCGAGAAGGATAAGTAGAGATCAGTTTTTTTTAAATTTTCAACAACCCTTTCAATAGATCTCATCCATAAAAAACCATATCTAAATGCAATATGCGAGATCTCATTGTCAAAACCCCTAAAACACTAGGTTTCACTCAAAAAATCTAAGTAAATCTAAAAGAAATTTAAGAAAATTTAAGCTAAGAGGTGAATCCAAAGATAAATATGAAAAAATAGAGAAAAGATACTCAAACCTCCGAGGAGAAATAGATCTAGAGATTAGCAGACGAATATGAATGGAGAACCCAAAGCACTCTCACCAAAAAACTTTTAGCCGATTTTCAGAGGAGAATGAGGGAAACCGAGCAGTCGAGGCAACGCTTACTATCCGAGGAGAAATAGATCCAGAGCTTAGCAGACAAACATGAATGAAGACCCCTAAGCTCTCGCACCCGAAAGCCTTTCGCCGATTTTTAAAGGAGAATGAGGGAAAATCGGAGAATGAGGGAAAGGCAGCTCGCGAGTCGTGATGACGAATTTTAGAGGAGACGGCGGACGGGAGACGAGAATGAGCCAACGAGGGTTAGGGTTACTTTTTAACATATCTTATATTAAATATATAATTTATATTTTATAAATATATAATAGTATATAAGTAATAGTAATATATTATTCTTAATATTTTTTTATATATTTTAATTTATAGGAAAGTTTTTTTTTAAATATGATAACTTATTTTTTAAAAATTTTAATTATTTATAATTTATAATATTTGATTTTATGAATATGTATTATGTATATTTATATATATTTATTTTCGAGCCGAACACAAGAGAACAAACTTTTGTTCGTGTTCGGCTCGTTTACATCAAGAGAACAAACTTTTGTTCGTGTTCGGCTCGTTAGGCTTAACCGAAGGGCTTAAAACGAAAGAGCCGAACACCTACTTAACGAGCCGAACACGAGCTGTTCGCGAACAACGAGCCAAATTGACAGCCCTAATCCTATTAAAGATCAAATTAAAAGACATCTCTATTAAAAATCAAATAAATATCAAACAATATAAAAATCAACAAAACTCGTAAAATGTTAAAAACATTAAAACTTAAAGTAAACCCTTAGTGAACAAACAATACCAAACATAACTTGAACAATGATCAGTTGGTCAAATATTTGCATCTAAATCATCCAAGTGAAGATAAAATAAAAGCAAATGATGAACCACAACCAAACCAACAATGATGTTCAGATGACAACTTTGGCTAATGAGTTTGACATAGATCTAGGTTTGGTACCCTTTTAACATCATTTTTGTGTTGTTTTATTTGTGCGTGTGGTTTGAATAAATTTTAGATCAATATTTTGTTGGTTTGTTTTTTTTTTTTGCATGGACTTCTAGTAGGCTCATTAACAACTAACTTTTCTTCCCAAACCAAATAATTGTAACATAAAATTTGTCAAAGCTACAAGAAACTCATAAATAAAACTAATAATAAATAAAATTTTTCATTCCCACCTAAAAAACATCATGCTTATAACACAAAAAATTGGCATTAAATAAAATTGATTAGAAAATCATAGTGATTTAGGAATACACACAAAAGGATCAACTTAGGCATATGCATTAAATCTATTCCTTGATTTCAGAACCTCATTCATTGCATAAAATAGAGAAACTTGTTCTTCAAGTCACCACTTTACAAAGTGAGTTATGCTTTTACATGTCATTTGGCTTTATGAAAATATCTGATAATCATTCATCATCAACGACTTGCATACCTATTCACAGTCTGCACTATTCACTTGATACTAAGAATTAACAAAAAATAATAAAACACATGAATATGGTGAAACTTAAAAATCATATTTTACATTGTAAGAATATGCTCGCATTAGGCTTAAGATGTTATGCATACCATTCATAATTTAACAACTCAATTTTTTAATTGAATTGTAAGACCAATTTCCTAATATATAATAGCCTATCATGCCTTATGTTAATCAAGACCGATCATGCGTGTCTTTACTACGATTAGCTGGTTCAGATGACAGTCCTTTCCTGGCAGGGTTATAAGTCAACACATTTTATTTTGTTTCTTGTGTGTTTCGTTTCTTTTATCCTTAGGACTGTTTACCTCATTATTATATGTGGCCTATATCATTCCCTCTATTTGGCACATAAGTTCTAGCCTTATGTTTTCCTTAGTGGCTCTTCTAAGAGACTAGAAGAGGAACCAACTAGTGAAAATTACCAAATAGAATTTAAAATCATAAATTAAAACTAAGATAAAAAAAAATCAAAATTACATGAAATCTTAAAACACTAACCATCACAATTATGAGCTTGAAATTAAATTTAATCACAACAAAACTAATATCAAATTCAACAAAATCCATATTACAAGCGAAATTAAAATTAAAAGAAATCAAATTTAAAGTAAAACCACCAAATCACCCTGAAAAACTAAAACTCCATATAATTAAGTCTTCGAAAACTAATTTCAACAAAAAAAATTCACTAAAATTAAATTTACCAAACTCAAAAAAAAAAAAATCATCAGATTAATCAAAATGAAAGTCATAGATATTTTGGTAAAATCATCAAGTCAATTTAAAGCTAAATTCAATATATA